AACAGTTATAACGGTTGATAAGAATTTTTATTTACTCGAATAATTATAACGATCGGTAAAGATTCTCGAATATCATTTCATATTTATAAATAATAATTTTTAATTAAATACCTTATTTTATTTTTATGATTCTCTCTATCTCTTTTCTTTTGTCTCCCGGACTTCCTTTCTTCTTTCTTTTTAGAAATCTTATTTTCTTTCTAAAATTTTAATTCTGTCCGATGCTTTTTTAATTTTAAATTCTACTCGATCTTTTAAATTATATTAAAATTATTTAAATTTAAAATTACTTCGACACAATCCTTTTGTTTTCCACTTAAAAGGGTATTATAAACTGTAATTTATTCGGTACATACTGAACGGGAGGAGTGAAGTGTGGGATGGAAACCAGAAAATACATTGACTTGTGGATGGTTTAAGAACGCTCAGAAACACAGAACTTGGAAACTACTGATGAATTTGAAGCAAGGAAGCTCTTTTCCATGGGTGTGGCGGGGACTTTAGCATCAATAGAAGAAGAAAGGAGGGAAGAACATCCATCCGCATTGAATGGAGGTGTTTTGAAATACTTTAACAAGCCTGTACTTTGACAGATCTGGGATATACGAGCTATCCTTATACTTGATATGATGGGAGAAAAGGAATGGAGAAAATTCAGGAGGGGTTGGATCATTCGTCTTCTTGATGGAACCACGATGAATACTTATGAAATTCAAGTTTTTTTTTTTTATTACATATGAATTGTAATATTTGGGTGATACACATATAATTGAAGCTAAAATCTCACTGGAATTTTTACAGAGTTAATTCAGTAACAAGTACTTTCATGAACAAGAAGAATCCATCTCGATCGATCTAATGTACTAAAGAAACCAGTCTGTGCATGCATGCAGCAACGGGCTTCAACAAATCCTTAAATTCACTAACTTGTTTCCTCTCCCCTCCCGGCCGGTGAAAATTCTTCGCGATCTCCTCCGCCTTCATACCCACCAACCTCTCTGGACTGATCTCTCCCAGAAGAACACTTCTTCTCAAATCTTGATTCTTGGGATCATTCATGGCGAACATTATCAGTGTGTACCTCGTCCTCTTCGCAAACTCTGTAACAGTTTTGTGCCCGTTGAAAGCACCCAGCTTCTCGAACATGACACTCTCCACCGATTCAGCAACTTCCACCGGGTCACAACAGCTAACTGAGTCTCTCAACTCGTCGCCGACCTCCATCTCGACTTTTGACAGAGCCTCGGCAAGAAGTTCACGGACCATAAACCGCGATGCACCATCAGAGTACGTGAATTGACATCCCCGGACCGGAATATCTTGCGTCCACTCTTTCTTGATCTTCTTCTCCGGCGACTTTCTCTGGTTTCCAACAACGGTGGTACTGCTGCTTCTTGTTCTGATACTAATCTTGGTCTGGTTGATGACGGGTTGCCAGGTTTGGAGCAAGCAAGAAGCTATGGATCTTATCTTCTTGCTGCGATGGTGGGTGAGAGTTTGAAGGGGTTTGACGATCTTGGTGGAAGCAAGAAGACGAGAGGTAACAGGGAGAGTCTTGATTTGACTCAGTGCGTCAAGGC